ACCTGTGCAATCATGTCCTTGATCTGTTCCATATGATCAGTAAAACGTGGCTGGTGAGTTGGCAGTAGACACTGGAGATCAGCCATGTCACTAACGAACTCTTGGCAGAACCTGCCACTTAATGCTATTGGATCCTCCCCAACCTCGTTTGCTCGACGGATAATCTGAAATACTCCACTGCTCAGATCCATAGAATAAAGACCACACTAAAAATGGAAGTGCATGAACAGACCATTACAAATTAGTTGCCTTCAATCTTGTTGGCATATTACATGAATAAAGCCAACGGGGAATACCATTTCCGCAAAAAAAAGAAAGTTATAATCAAGATATCATATCAATCTACATTTACAATCTATAACTAGTTACAACCTTAGCTTAAATTGTAACATCTTATATTTCAACCATCGGCGCAATGCACCTTGGGTCGCTACGGAAACAGCCTCCTTGTATAATTACAAGGGTAAGGTCTGCGTACAACTGACCCCCCAGACCCCAACATGTTGGGAATATACTGGGTATGTTGTTGTTGTTGTTGTTGTTGTTATATTTCAACCATAAAATACTAACATAAAGGAGGACAATAATGTACACATCAAGGAATAAGAAAAATATTCAACCACAGACACTTTCCCACAATCAAATCATTAAAAATATCCACTACAATGTAGACACAGACACACACACACACACAAACAAACACACACTAGGTAATGTGTATGGGCGTTCGAAAGGAATAAAAAGAACACGTTTCCTTTCCCAATATCTGATATATATTTATGTTGATCGTTTAATGAGTTGTCATAAATACAGATCCTTGGTCACCTTTTTGCAAATCCTCGCCTAACGTTCATATGTCTAACTATTTATTAATATCAAACCTTCTATGACACCAAAACTCAAAGTAGAAGGCATACATTATCTACGTTCACTTCACGGAATTCTCTTAGAATATCGAAGGTTTTTGTGCATCCACTGCCACATTAGCCAACAACATCTCACCTTATCATCGACATCAGTAAAGTTACGGACGTAAACAACGTCGTATCCCAAACGCTTCAAATATCTGCAGCATTATATTTCAACAAATATACTTCAGGCGGAAAATTAAAGCAATAAAATAAGTTGTCTTTTTGTAAGTACAATAAATCAATGAAATACACTTTCGAATTATACTTTAGCAAATATGGTCCGTCACTAACTTAATCATGTTCTGCAGTATCAACAAGAATCTTGTTATAAACATAATATGAGAACATCTAAAAGAAAAGCTGTAATTCCGACAACAATCCCTGAAGCTACTGGCTATTATCCAAATATAAAAGCCTCTAGCTACTCTTAATAAAAAAAGGGGCAAAAACAAAGGCTGCTGATTACTTTACGTTAAGTTCACTCAAGTTCAACCACCACAAAGTTCACCGCTAATTATTGTCAAAAAACGATTCACTATGAACAATCTGTTCAGCAAAATCTCATCTTCCAATTTGATACATACATTTAGGATTACCCAATGAAAACTTCCACACCTTACTCTACACTCGGCAGGCTTACCACTTAACTGGCAAACTCATAGTCTTACAGATTCCCAAAAAAATGACTTTAGGGTACAATTAAAAATTCCAAATAAATTGTATCAGCCCATTAAACTTCAAAGCTTCAAGATGCTCCACTACACCAGATGCTGCCAGTTACGAGGCTACAAACAAATAGAAATTCAGGAATACAAAGATACAGACAGATTTTCAACTTATTAAAAACAGCATTGACTAAAATTCCATCCTTCAAAGCACCAGAAATCCCCTATGAGCTCATCGGAACAGATGAGTAGATGACCACATAATCAAATGCCACAAAAAAATTGAAGGCACAACATCCCAATCAAGAGTCGTGAGTCGAACCTGTAGAGAACATCGAACGCCACGTAGGCACGCGCGTGGCCGATATGGCTAAGGTCGTAAGAGGTTACGCCGCAGACGTACATTCCGACTCTGCCCTCGATTCTCGGCTTAAATACCTCTTTCTGCTTCGTCATACTATTGTATAGCTGAAAATCCAAGCTCCTCTCCGCCATGTCTGTAGTGGAATTAACAGTGAGAAAAACGTCGTCGTATGGATCGGAAGATATTTTGCTCCAAGTGAATCGATTCTTCCTACGTTTTGGTCTGGCAAATAAACCCTAGAGGATAGTGTGTGCTGAGGGGAGATTACACTATATTCAATTCAAACTCGTGAGTGATAAAAATTTTACAGGGAGCTAGGGAGGTGAGGGGGCTGGGAATGATTATTTAGAGGAGAGGGAGTCAAATGTAAACCTTATTCAGTTATTTGTTTGGAAAATGGAAGTGAAAGGAAAATAATATAAGATTGATTATTTCATTTTTAATGATATAAGAGATAAAATATTTAAATAACTTAAATATTATGGATAAAAAAGTAATTTTACCTTATTAAAATTTACCCTCTTCTCCAAATCCTCCATTTTTGGAAGGGGAGCAAAATAGAAAGAGGAGGGAATCCTACTAGCAACTTCTCCTCTCCTCCCCTCCCTTCCCCTCAAAAATTCTGAACCAAACAAGTAGTGCTGTAAACTAACCGAACCGAGCTTGGGTTGTTCGAACTCGTGTTCGTTTATGTTCGAACAATGTTCGTGTTCGTTTGTTTGTTTTTCAAGCAAAAAATCGTGTTCGAGTTTGTTCGTTTAATTGTTCGTCAAAGTTCGAGTTCGTTCGTGTTCGAATAATTTAATACATAAACTTTTTAAATATGTTTGATTAACTTGAAATTTGTTTGTTCAAAGAAAATAAACCCTTTTCCTTCCCTTCCCTCCCTTCCTTTTTTTTCCCAACAAAACACTACATTAAAGGTATGTTTCGATCAACGAATGGGAGGGGAGAGGAGGAGAGATATTTTAATGAAAGGGAGGTGATGGAAGAGAATGTGATGTAAATAATTTTTTCCCTTGTTTGGGAATATTATTTTGGAGAGGGAGGAGGGAAAATGACAAACCTTGTTTGATTGAAAAATGAAGGCGTGAGGAATATATAAGATTGACTATTTTATCCTTAATGATATAAGAGAAAAAACATTTAAATAACTTAAATATTAAAGAGCAAAAAAGTAATTTCACCTTATTAAAATTTTTCCTCCCCCTACTTTTACCTCCAACCAAACACTACCTAAGAGTATGTTTGGTTCAACCGAGGGAAAGGGATGGGAGGGATTTTAATGGATGGGAGAGAAGGGAGGGGGAGGTGATGTAAAATAATTTTATCTTGTTTGGAAGGATTTTATTAGAGGGAAGTTGGGAGAAAATTGAAAACCTTGTTTAGTAAAAAAATGAAAGGGAAGAAAAAATAATATTAGAATGACAAATATATCCTTAATGATGTTAGAAATAAAAACTAAAATATTATATATAATAAGGGTAAAATTGTAATTGGACAACTTAAAATTTTTCCTCCCCTCCCCATTTTTTGAGGGAGAGCAAAAATGGAGAGGGGAGGGAATTCTAACTTAAAATTTTCTCTCCTCTCCTATCCATATTTCCCAACCAAACAAGNTTTTTCCCTAACCAAAAACTACACAAGGGACCTTATAAGGTAATCTTCGTATATACCTAACAATAGATACCTCTATCTCACTACAAGATTGATCCAAAAATGAATATCAATGATATATTCAATGTACGAGGCAAAAAAAAAAAAAAATTGTTGCCCGCCTCGTACATCTCTTAAGCCTCACAGCTATGGGACGACTTTGCCTACAATAGCCCCGCTCTCTAATCGATTGATCCCCTTGATCATAGAACTGTGAGGCAACTTTTCCTATTAGGGGTGAACGAGGAGAGGGTGCCTGAAGTCACACCAGTAGTTTGCTTTGGATGTATTTATCCCATAAGGGTGACAAGGGTGGATTTTTCAAAAATTCTTTACCCTTGTCAACTAAGATTGAGAAACGGATCCCTCCACCTGTGGCACGGCTAGAACCACGATCTTTACCAGTCCCTCCTCTGAAAGAGAATTCTCCGTTACACCTAGAATATAGAGGAGTATGCCAATTCCGACCGTGAAGGAAGTCAATTTGTCTGTACATGCTAAAAAACCTATTATATGCCTACTTTAATTGAAATTAAAATTTAAAATTAATTCATTATAAAATGTTAATTGTATTTAGTTTCCAGCCTATATATTTATTTAATTTGTATATCAATTCTAGAAACAAAAACATATTATCACAACCTTAAGATTTGTATTATTAGTTATAATATGTCAATTAAGTTGTTTGCGATCACTTACCTTCAAAATCAAAGTCATCGTAGTTCGCTTACCTTACTTACCTTGACAAAAGAATATGGCATGATGCGATCAACGTTCTAGTAATTGTAGTCGTCGTCTTTAGTTCCATCAGTTCCAATACTGGTACTAAAATCCGTCGGCTCTTCATCATTATCTTTAGTTATCTTTGTCGTTTATGCCCTTCTTTAGATCTTCGTTTGGCAGTATTTGAATCTCTTAGTTTTGAAGAAGAAGAAGAAGAAGAAGAAGAAGAAGAAGATGGCTTCGGATATTCCCCAAGTCCGATTATTGTTATCTTAAACAAGTCATACAACAAAGGTGCTCGACAAGCAGCTGTGCCATTCAACGAAATGAATAACATCGATGGGAAGTGGGAGTTGATACATAAGTTCATAATAAGTGTGGAGTTGGTTGAGAATTTCATTTTCACGTATAGACGGGTCTAACAAAGTCTCAATTAAAAATGTATCGACAATGTACAAATAATATCTTAAATTTTTTCTCAACATATCATTTACAAGGACACGACGTTGTTCATGATCACTAGCAAATAAGTTTCTAAAGCCCCACATCACGGATGCACATGAAAAATTGAGCAATGAGATAGTAAACACCGGAAAGAATGTCAATAGCAGTTTGAACTGCTCCCAGAAATTGTGTAAGAGTTCTACATATCTCCCTATTACTAGTAATATTGCAGTCACGACCCTCAACACGAGAAAAAAAAAAAAAAAAAAAAAAAATACTCTAATTGATTGGCAAATTCACACACTTTTGTTAATATTTTGTATGCTGAGTTACACCAGGTTGAAACGTCCAATTGAAATTTTTTGCGTGTAACATTAGCAAGTCTACAATGTCTTCCCCATTTTTTTATTTATTGAGGACGGTAATGGCTTCCCAAATGGGCACGACCGACTCTTTCAGATCATTATAACCTGATTGAACATAAATATTAAGGACATGACACATACACCGAAATGAAAACTTTTCCACCACAAAGAGGACAAAAAATTTGTGTAATGTCAGGCACAAAAGCAGTATTAGCACTAAGCTTTATAAAAAGAATGAAAAATTATTTTGGACCGATTTTGTAAGTATTCAACACATGTGCAATTAAGCGAGCGATATTACTAGCAGTGTGAGAGTTATTAAATCACACGTAAGCAATTAAACATTTTTGTAATGAGAAACTATCATCAACCCGCTGACAAGTAATTATTATATAATGATTGTCAGACCAATGATCGAACCAAATATCACAAGAAATAGAAACACTTTAATTTAATTTTTCAACTGTTTGTGCCAATACTAGTTTTCTCTCACCCAAAGTGTCTCATATATGGCGGGTGAGAGTAGTACGTGGAACTTGAGACACGACCGAGTTTAAAGTCTTTTGAGAAAAGTTTTTTTATAATTCAGAATGAACAAAACTAAAAGGTAGAGATGAAGATAAAATAATTCAACTAGTCATCGTCTAAGATATATACCAGAGTATTGAAGAAGAAGAACTTGTATCGGCAGATCCAGCCCCAGATGCAGTTTTACTTCTCAGGATTTGAGTTTGAACCTATCAAAAAACTCCCAGTTGACAATTTTTGAAAAAATTGAACAACGAGAAAGTTGTTTTTCAGTAAAATTTGAATATTTCCGGAAAGTTAAAAAAACTATTTGAAAGTTAACTCTCTATCTTATATTCTTTTAAAATTGATAAATTGCCTCACAAAATCACTTTTTACGTTTTAAAACTAGATTTCACCGATCAAAACTTGTCTTAAAGTCAATTTAAAATAATTGCATTTTGTATTTCTCAAAAAGAAGATTAGAAGATAAATCCCAGAGGCAAATATCCAGTCCGAACCACCATACAGTGGAAATTGGGAGGAGTACTAACAGTAGTGTCCTAAGATAAAAACCAAAGAAGATGAATCCAAATTTTCGGCAGCGACGAGAGCACTGAAAACGGAAGTTGGACGCCGAATCCCTACTAACAAAAAAAAACTAAAAAACCCCCCAAAAGGGGGTCTTCCTACTCCGACAAGCGGAGAATCGAATACTAACTTAACTATACGCACACACACCTACCTAGCTAATTATAGAGTACTACCTCCCCTAAACCACACGAGCAACCTGCAACGGTCAAACAACCAACACTCAACTAAACCTCGCAAAAATTAACCCCAGAATAAAACTCAAGGAGATACAGAAAACGACCTTATAATTAAAACCCCAACTAAAAGCAACGGTTAGAAAGAACCAGAGCCTAGATCTGGTCTCTCGAAATCGTCAATCATAGGAGAAAAAGGCCCAAAAGGTCTGGCTTGAACAACCCCGGAGGCTTGACGAAACAACGACCCCTAACTTGGCCAGAGAGAGGGCAGCGCGACGAAAGCCGCCCCTGGCCCTCTCCTGCATAGGAACCGCAGGTTGAGGGTGGGAAGAGCGCCGTTTACCACGACCGAAGCAGGACCGAAGGACAGAAGAC